TAAACTCAATATAACCCAAAGTATTTAAAGAAGACAACAATTTTAGTTTATCTTGTTTGTTACACCCCAGAGTCCAAACATCTCAGATCCACTCTACACGATGAGTGAACCACACCTACCACCATCCCACTTACACTTTTGTCCTCGCTTCGTGTAAAAGGATTAACCCGGAGATGGTGGGATGGACTTTATAAGCCTTATATGTTGGTCTAACCCACCTTTAATAACTAATGTGGGACTAAACCCCCGACAATATCTCATTACATGCACATGGGCCACTATGAGTTAATTCCAAACTAAGCTGGATGTGACGTTGTTCAGTGGCAATGGAAATCAATTGTTTATTTTCAGCACAAGTATTTTGTTCTAGAAGAAAAAAACCAATCTCATTCACTAGTTGTGGCATGGGAATAATCATAGCATTATCACACAACTCTTCTTTATCACAAAGATTAGTAGAACTTTTATCATGTGACAAAGGTAAATTAATAGAAACTTCTAGTATAGCATTATTAGAATAATTGGTGGGAAACTTCAGCATATCAAAAGAGCTCTTACCTGAGACATGTACCTATTCTTTCTTTGTCACCTTGCCCTCTATTTTGGATACATGCTGCAAATATATTAGTTCCAACACGAGGCAAAACAATATCTTCATTTTGTAAAAATTTAGATTTAGATGAAGGTATTGTAACATATGTAATAACCCATTCTTTTCTAAAAGGCTCCTTTCTTTTCTCTACTCTCATGAGATCTTCTCTTAAAATTTCGACAGCGGTCATAGGAATAAGTGTAATTTTTCTACCAATGTATTTGAATGAATATTTATTAGTAATTGTATTGTGCATAACATTATTTTTAGATATCCATGTTTTGCCAAATAACAAATTGCATGATTGCATAGGTACTATATCAAATTTAGCGCTATCCTTATAAAGACCAAGAGAAAACTCGATGCGTGCAATTTCAGCTACCTTTATCTTATCTTAAGAATTTACCTATTAGATGTAGTATGGATGTGGATGTGGCTTTGTGGTCAGACCAAGTTCTCAACCATATCTAAGTCTATAAGGTTGTTGCAAGTCTCGCCATCAATCATAACACGACAACGTTGTTCCTTCACAACAAAATATGTTTGGAACAAGTTGTTGAACTGGTTTTGCTCCGCCTTCTCCATTTGAGAACTGAGCACTCGCTGTGCAAATCCGTAGTACATGCGGAAGGTGGCGGTGACAACGTCGTTGTAGCAGCGGAGGAGGACGGTCGTGTGCATGCTACAGTGCCCACTTTTGCAATTATTTCATCCATCCTTGTAGACAAGCGGTCTATGATGTCCTGCAGTTCACTCTTAAAAAGAAATTCGTTGTTTGGCATTGTTAGCAATCAAAATAAATGCCCTATCAATTATTTATGGGTCAGTGGAATCACACTCTCACACGTCTTACCAAGTTCTTACAAGGTTCTTACCAACGCAAAAGCAATGGACGATACAACAAGTGGCTGGTTGTGAGGACGTGACACCAAGATTGCAAGGGTCTTTTCTGTACTGATCTGAAGTATATGTGGAGCTTGGAAGGCACACAAAGAGAAATATTTCATATGTGGCACATAAGTCAGAACAGATAGCAATATTGAATAAATGTCCAGATCACTTGTCCTAGTTGCTGGCCTATACGTGTTTCTAGCACCAATTGTGACAAACAAAGGAGTGAAACAAGTATGAAAGGTAGCAATAGAAACACAGACAAGGAAAAGGCAACACAAACAATAGAGCTTTTGGGTGTTCCTTATGTGCTCCATTTCTCTTCTCTTCTCTTCTCTTTTACTATTATTATTATTTTCTTTTCTTTTCTTTGTCCAAACTTTTTTTCCTTTTGCTCTTTTGATATTTTTTCTCAGCAAGGAGCACACAAGAAAAATCCACAAAAAAATTGAGCTCAATTGGATAAAAGATGTGGCCTATAGAAAATCAGGATTGTGCTCAAAAAAGCATACCAAAACTTGTGGGCCTAGAAACTCGATTTTTCTGATCGAATTTCGCAAATCTAGTTTTTGTGAACCCAGCTATGCTGGGATGAAATGGATCTAAATTTTTTTGGCGTTCTCTGTACATATAAAATTCAGCCCGTTTCGAGTTCGGATACAAAAGTGATGACTGTTTTAAGGAAGCTACTCGAATTAGGGTTTTATGTGGATAAAAGATGTGGATTTTTGGATAATGGTGGCTAGGGTTGAAGGAAAACAGCGGGGAATTACACAAACTAACTCAAACACAACCTAAACCAGCAATAAGACCTTGACCTAGGACACAAACTCAACACGACGGATTCTAAAACTGAAATATGCAAAGGCTATGGCGCGGATGGTTGTAGGACAGGAAACAAATATGATGGTGGACTATGGGACAAAGGTGAAAACACTTGAACTAAGGGTAAGATGTGAACTTGATGGTATACCTAAAGCTCTAATGCCACTTGATGGGGATGGGGTTTCCGATCTTCCGTTAGGTTCAAGATAACTATCGATTTGGTCGGAGAGCGACACACTGATCCGGCTTCAGATCACAAAGACCCGAACCCTGCAACCTTAGCACCATGTCTTCTCTAGTTATCAACCATGTCACAATCCTGTTGACCTCGCTAAGAAGGCTAATCCCTGCTGCGAATCAAAGAACACAAACAAGAACAAGATAAAATACAACTCAAGTAAAGTGACAATTTGCAAATGTATTATTAAGATTTCAATGTGGGGTTTCACAAATCGATAATGACGACTGTTCAAAGACAGGCTGTTCTTAAAGCCTAAGATGGACTCGAACTTATCATGGATTGGGCCTCCAACTTGGGTTGGATGTCCTTGCTTGCCTTCTAAGAAGGTGGCCAAGAAGGAGGACGTCCTTGGACATCTCTGAGATGTTCTCCGTCTCCTTAGGGCATGCTCCAACATGGGCTAGGGTCCCAAGGGTGAATATCAAGCCCATGACGATGACGTAGCTCCTGGCAGAAATAGCGATAGCATGTCATGATGATTTGTAGACCTTGCTAACGTGAAATTGAGGTGGGACCAGATCTAATTGAAAGCTTATCAAACAAGCTTTCCATCAAGTGCTCATTGACCTCAATCACACTCCGGATGGAGTTATGGCCTTACCAATGAGGTAGTGTCGTTCTACCGGTGAAACGAATGTTCAACTTTGATGGACTTGCACTTTGAGATCGGTCTTGTTCATGGCATATCCAATCTTTATCATCAAGACCATTGTTCCTAAGAATATTTGAAATACCACTAGTAGGTAGCAACCGATTCCTAGTTTTATCATTATGCAAACAAAGGAACGAGCTCACCTTGTCTTTAACTTTCATGGTCGTGTCCATAGGTGTCATGTCCTCATCACGCCGGCCTCGCCAGACCCCTGAGTCCATAATCCACAGTGCCCTGTGGCCAGCCATCACCCCATCGCGCTCCCCTGGCTGGTCCGCAGCTGCCCCCTACCCGGTCCATGCCAAGGCTACGATATCCCCTCGCCGGTCCGTCGACGACGCGAAGCTCCATTGCTAGACTCAAAGAAACGGAGGGCAACTCCGCTCCAACCGCCGCCCCATCGCGCCCCTTGTCCGGTCCACAACTGCCCCCTGCTTGGTCCGTTCTAAGGGTGCGGTGTCCCTTGGCTGGTCCACCAACAACACAAAGCTCCATCGCTAGGCTCGAAGAAACGGAGGGCAACTCTACTCCACCCACCACACTCGATGGCTATCGTGGCCCCCTAGCCAGTCGCTCTACGCCACTGGCGAGCTTTAGACCGATGAACTTCACACGCCGACGAACCTCTATTTCTCCCAAGCAGTAAAGAGATGTTGTGCTCAAAGCGCATGTTGCAAACATACATTTTAAATGTTTCAGAGGTATGTTCAAGTGTTTCATACGGATGTTGCAAAAGTAGATCAGGATGTTGCAATGGTTTGTACACGTATGTTGCAAGCGTCTGTTCCCAATGTTTCATCTGTTTTTCATACGTATGTTGCAAGTGTGTTTATCTAAATGTTGCATATGTTGCTAAGTATTTTATCTAGATGTTGCGTATGTTTTGCTATGGGTTTCAAGTGTTTTTTGCAAGTGTTTCATTTGTCTTCTTTTATATGTTGCAAGTGTTGCATCTGGGCATTTTAAAAGTAGATTTGGTGTTGCACATGTTGCTATGGCTATACACGCATGCTTCAAGTGTTTTATTTGTTTTTAGATGTATGTTGCAAGTGTTTTTATTTGGATGTTTCAAAAGTAGATCTCGAGGAAGCACATGTTGTTGCTGCTAGTGCACCACCATATGTCACTGTGTCGCCATGGTTTACCGCACGCGCTTGGTGGTGGTGCCGTTGCTGCTGCGTGCATGCGGGCGTGTGAAAAGGAGCAGGCTCGGGGTGGTCCCCGCGCAGCCTCTGGAGCGGGATGGGTGCATCAGGCGTGGGTTCAAAAGCACCTTTCGATGCTAGTGCCCCGCAGCGGGTCCGAGCGCTAGCAAGTTCCATAAGGTTTTGCTAGATTAACTAGATTAATAAAGAAGGCATATGGATGAAAACAGTTTGAAACCTTGAGGTAAAGCTTCTAACCACTTTCAAGTAATGGGAATTGCTCAGCCTAGAAACTGCAACGTGTATGTGCCCAACCTAATCTTTGGTCGGTGTAGAAATATATTTTTGTCGCATTGTGTAAATACAGTGATATTTTTCTCCCTGGCAAAAAAATTACTATGCTAATCTATGGTGGTATTTCTTTTGAGGAAAAAAGTTTTTTTTGAGCAATTTTGAGGAAAAAAAAAGTAAGATGTCATGACGTTTTTTTTTAGGGAAAGATATCATGACGGCTGGCAGGCCTAGGAGGCTAACATAGGCCCACCTGTTTGCCCCATAAGGCCTGTTCACTGGCTGGGCCGGTCTTTTCTGCACAGGTATACATTCAGCCCAACTCAACCTTCCTTTGCCTCTCTTTCCCGACTCCGATCGCAAATGCGTTCTCTCCTCCTTGCCCGCACGTGCGCCTTCGCTTCGCGGCGCTTCCTCTCCGCGCTCGCCGGCTGCGGGGCCGGGGCCCCGTGCGCCGGCGTGGTGTACGGGTTCGGGGATAATAGCCATGGCGCGGTGGGCCAGCCGCCACCGGCTGCCGACGCCTACGTGACCACGCCCGTGCCCTCCCTCCCGCCGTCCGTGAGCGCCGTCGCCGCCGGTCACTACCACTCCCTCGCCGTATCTGCCGCCGGAGAGGTCTGGGCGTGGGGGCGCAACGACGAGGGCCAGCTCGGCCGCGGGCTTCACTCCCCGAGGTAAGTCATCTTTTTAGATATCAGAAGTTAGTGTGATACAGCATCGGGTAAATAAGTGATGAAACATGATGTTCCTTATATAGTAGCACAAGCATGATTCTCGAGGTGAAAGCATTACTACATGGTGGTTACATTATTACAAGACATGTGTGGATTTGGAAGCACAAAGCGCTACATTGTTTGCTTATGTAGTTCGGTCAATAATGCTACACATTAACCAGGAGAAAGGATCACTGACATAGGAAGAGTAAGAACAAAAGGAGAAAGAAAGGGCACCTATGATTTTATCATTAGGTGAAACAAGAAAGACTTATGGAGCTAGGAACAACATAACTCAGCAGTATTTATTGAAAGAAACACTGAAGGTTATGGGAGAGTGAAAGATTTGGATATTTTTTAGGCCCTATTTGGATTGATGAAGCCAGGAGAAGCCACTTTTTGGTGGTTTTGGCTTCTGGGCAAAATGGCTTCAGCTTCACTGTTTTTGGTTTGGTTTGGCTTCTGGGCAAAATGGCTTCAGCTTCAAAAGCCATGCTCGTGTGTGCACATTTGGCAGAGCTTTTGATTAAGCCGGTAGAGAAACTCCAACTAAAGTCCTGTCAAAGAGAGCCTTAGCGTGTACACTGCTTCTTTTACTGGTTTCAGTTTTGTATATTTATAATAATTAAATATTTTCTACTATTAAGAATATTAACATTTTGCCCACTCTACCTAATGAAACTTTGTCTATCAGATTTTTGTTCCTTGGAATTTAACCATTAATGCTTGTTTCCTTGTCCTTACGCCAGTGTTACTTATCAAGGATATGCATAAAACTATTCAACCATTTCACTAAATGACAGGAATACTTGGAGCAACGCAGAACTGGTCAGAGGATTGGAAAATGTTCAAGTTCAAGCTGTATCTGCTTCAGGCGTTGTTTCAGCAGCAATAGGATCTGATGGTTCTTTATGGATTTGGGGGAGATCAAAGCGTGGCCAACTTGGACTTGGGAAGGGTATTGTAGAGGCAGCAGTGCCATCTAAAGTGGAAGCTCTTGCTAGCTACGACATTGTTAAGGTGCTAACTTTCTCCCAGAAATTAAATAAATGGATTGACAATGATGTTAACTGAAGGAATAATGGTAGGTATCATTTGGATGGGGGCATGCCATGGCATTGACAAAGGATGGAAAGCTATTTGGTTGGGGCTACTCGGAAAATGGAAGGTTAGGAGAAATGGGTCAAAGCACTAGAGCTCTTTCTGCAGAAGAATACATAGGAAAAATGGCAGACAAGTATTCTAGTTCAATGCTGGAGGCTGTTGAAAAGATGGTTGAAGAGAAAATTCGCAGTGAAGACAATATGCCCATTATCTGGGAACCATCACTTGTTCATGAAGTGAGTCGTCTTGAGGTGTCTGACGTATCTTGTGGGCTTGATCATTCCTTGATTCTCTGCTGTGAGTATTTATTTTCACTACAAACGAAACTCCTTGTGTGCATATTTGTGATGGATAATACTTTTCTCGTGCTTCTCTTCTGCTCTCTTGGTAACCAGAGTCAATAAGCTATGCTGTAATGTTGCTTCAATAATATTTGATGTGATCAAACATTGGAAATATCTTGTACTGCAGATGCAAATAGTACATGTTTTAGATAACAATTGGTTATTACCTGTCATTATCACATCTTGACAAATCTTGCTTGGTCCTGTATGGACAATTTAACATACAATGCAAGTAGCTGGACATTTGTGTAATGAGTCTCATGTTCCACTAGGACGCTATTGCTAATGTTACTTATAGGATCAACATAGGAAAAGATTATGTCATCTTAGCCTCTTAGGAAACACACTACGGAAAATGAAACATAGTGACCATCTATCATTCTCAAATTAGCCTTTTGGGGTATTCTTATTTTCAAATCTATGCCTACCACCATCTCATATGGTTTCTGTAATTTTCCAGCTGATGGCATTGTACTGAGCGGTGGTGACAACACTTACAGGACAACTGGGTAGGAAGGCAGGGCCACCCAAATTGCTTCCTGTTGGCATGAGCTACAAGCCATTCTCCATGTCAGCAAGTGTCGGTCACTCTCTCACACTATGCCATACAACGACTGAGGGCACTGATGGTGTGGAAACTGGCCTCCTCTCATGGGGGTGGAACTGCAGCTCCCAGCTCGGACGGCCTGGTCAAGAGGACATCCCTGCACTGGTGGACTGTCTGAGCACGGAGAGGCTGGTAACGGCCTCGGCTGGTCGAGTCCATTCAGTTGCTCTCACGTCCAAAGGTGAAGTTTGGACCTGGGGATCAGGCAGGAATGGCAGGTTAGGTCTGGGCAGCTCCATTGATGAGGCGGAGCCGTGTCTTGTAGATACCCTGGAAGGGGTGGAAGTCTTGCAAGTTGCAGCAGGGATGGACCATAGTCTCCTCCTGGTCTCCGAGTAGGTTGGCATGCTGGTTCACTGAAAGATACTGTACTATAATTGTTAGTTGTATGGGTATCCATATATCTGTCTGAAGAAGCTGGAAGTGGCGCCATTTTCTCTTTCTCGAAGGAGTATGGCCAGTAAGGTGGATGTTCTTTTCTTTTCTTTTTTTCCTTCAAGAAAAGGTGTGGATGCGCATTGCCACTTGCTAGACGACATCTGATTTAACCTACTCTTTTTGGGTAGCATACTAGCATTGGTCCTGTTGAAGGATGATGCACGAACTTCTCACACGTGATCTGAAATTCTAAATTATATGTGATATTAGCCGACGGTAATGCAAAGCATTTTATGTTTTGGGCCTTCTACCTCGTCCTTGCTACATGAGGTGGAGCGTTGTATAGGCCATAAGCCCATAACACTAGATGTAGCTGTGACCACATAGACTATACCTGTGTTGTCGAATTGTGCTGTCGAAGTTACTTTACTTCTACATAATTTGCGTGATCAATGTAGACTAATTAAAATAGATAACGAGAGCATCTGCTAGTAAATAAATATCAAAAGAAGATTTCGTAAGAGTCTGGTAATTCTAAGATAAGCACCATAAGATAGAACATGATTTTAGCAAAAGTTTAAAACTGGTTTCATACTTTTATATTTTCCAAGCTAAAGCAAATCTTCAACGATTTTTTAAAGTTTGGATCAGATTTTAGGACTTTTAATTGCATAATAAGGCATCGTTTGGCAGGGCTTCACTTCACTATTGAAGCCATTTTTTTTTTTGCTTCAGCTCCACGAACAGTTCCACCGATGGAGCTGAAGCGGTTTTGGTAAACCGTTTGGCAAAATGGCTTCCCTGTGAGAGCATGTTTTTAGGGGCCTAGAGGAGGAGCCGGGAGAAGCCACTTTTTTTTGGCTCCATCCCACCCCAAATCATTGTGAGAGCATGTTTTTAGGGGCTTCACCAGTAAAGCTATTTCACTTTACCCCGTTTGGCAGAAAACGGCTCCAAACAGCTCCTGAAGCTGGTGAAGAAGCCCTGCCAAACGAGGCCTAAGTTGTCCAGAAAGAAACAGTTGGATGATTTTTTTTGAAAATTTATTTATATAACTTTTTTGATAAAGCTTGTTTGACCCTAAACTATCAAAGTAGCCTGATTTTTCCTTTGGGGTGATGTGGCGCCATATAGGATAAACCCACCATTAAAACCATCCAAGGTGTAAATTCAACGTGTTTTAAAAAAAAGGATCTCAGGTACCGGTTTTTCAACTAGTGGAGGACTGGAGGAGAATCGAATTTCGAGTGAAAGTTGGAGGAGTTTTTTTTTTTTTTTTTTTTTTTTGAGGAAAGTTGGAGGAGGTTAAATGGACATTTTTTTCCTTTCTCTCTCCTTCGATTATATCCAGGCCGCAGCGCTCCTCTCTCAACGGCCCAAGCCCAAAAGGCTGAGATCTCACACGTAGGGTAGAGCCCATTCATCGGGCGCGCACGCACGCCGCGAACAGCCGGAGCGGTCGGCGAGACAGAGCCCAAGTCGAAGCGAGCGGCTTTGCCGGCGGCGGCGACCGGAGGATGGGGCTGGGAGGCCGGGGCGTGGTGGGAGACAGGTGGTCGCAGCGCATCCTATGGATCTGCGCCCTGGGCAGCGCCATGAGTAAGCGCCCGTACCTGAAAACCCTACCCCCTGCTATTCTGCTCCCATTCCGTCGCGGTCTTCCCCTAACCACTTCTCCCCGTTGCCGCGGTCTCGCTCCTCTGGTGTTTCCGTACAGGCCTCTACTTCGTGGCGGTGGAGAGGCAGGCGCAGAACCGCGCGCGGGCGGTGGCCGAGGGCCTCAAGGCCCTCGACGGCGCCGGGGATGACGTGTGACAGAGGTGGACGCTTCCGTGCAGAGGGCCTCCTTTGGTTAGGTCATAAAAACGAGTCACATGTTTTTTCTGCTTCACATGTTCACAGAACCTCGTAGCGTTGCAATAATGTACTAAACATCTGTGCTCAGTCTTTGTAGAAAGGAATGTTGATCAATGTGAGTGTTCTCCTGTTTCGCATAATTCATCTGAGCCTCTATGACAGAAATGTTGATTTGTGTCACTATGTGAGTGTTTTCTTATTTCACACAATTTGTCCATTTAAGGATCCATATGGTGTATTCTTAAGAGTGGCGTAGCCAGAATTTAACAGCTGGGTATTCACTGTGCTTTTTATTTGACCAATACAATACATACCACAAAAATATCAACATGAAAGTGAAGGGAAATTACTGTGCTCTTATTGAAATTCCTTTAAGCCTGAACAATGGAGTAATATTCTGTTTTTTATACATGTATTAATACTACATGATATACTAAATTTCTATATAAAATCATGGGTATTCATGTGTTCATGTGAATACACATGAATACCCCTAGCTATGACCATGGGACTGAATGCATCATGTAAGTGAATGCAGTATGCAAGCATGGCAAAAAGTTTTCTTTTAGGTGATTCTGATTAGTGTCCCGGTGCTATCATTGCTGTGCTTCAATGAAGCTAAAAATTAATGGTAAGATTATACTTTGCATTATCTTTGTGTTTGAGCAACTGAAACTGAGCACTAGTGGCAATTAAGCTATGCATACCTCCATCTTGTGTATTCAAGAATTCAGAAAAGGTAGGAGTGCTGCAATGCCACTGCAAGTGCATTTCAGTATCTCTTTTCATGTCTACCTCTCAAAAGTGGATAACGGACTCTTCCTTTCATACCCTTGCCCCTTGGTGTGGCAAATGAATATTGGTATTCTTTCCACCCCTAATCATTTCTAGGATTTCGTCAACTAGTTCTTCTGAATTGAGCTAGGTTTTTCGAGTTATCCTGTGTCTACAGTGTATACATTCAAATCCTGCTGCGAATTAGGGCTGCCATGAAGATTGGAATATCACATTACATGGGAAAAATATGTTCTTCTGCATGGGCACAGAAAACAGCAGGCACTGATGACAAACATAGTAATCGTTTAAGCACAAAGTTGATTCCAGACCCTTGCAGTGAAATAATCAATTACTTCAGAAGGAATGCCTTATAGATATCAATGTGGTTAGTGCTTCGTGGTATCATTGATTTATGTAATGTCCATGGGATGTTAATTCTCTAACCTGTTGATTCTTCACAGGTTGATTCTTCACCTGTTAATTCTTTAACAAGTTGATAATTTTTTTTCTGATTCACCAGCGTGCCTTGAAATGAGTTTGCTATTTGCATATGTGATATATTTTCTCAAGAACTGAAGTTTTCAGTTGTTTTCCTCTGATGAACAGTAGATTTCAACATCTATGATTATCTGAAATGGTTCAGTTTAAACTTTAAAGTACAGTGGTCACTGGTCAGTGTATTTATATCTGAAAAGGCGGTTATTATTTGTTCGTGGCTCAGACTTATAGGTCCTTGACTAAGCCAGATGATAAACCTATGCTGTTGCTGTTTACTTATTTGTTCATGGCTATTATTGTTTACTCAGAGTTGAGACAATAAATAATTTACATATGGAAATATACTATTTGCTTTCTGATTTCAGTTATGACTTCATGCTGCTAAAACCTTGTATATAGGATCCAAATTTTTTATATCTCAACATATGCCTTATTTTCTCCCAAAGGCCTAATTTTAATAGGTGCTGTCTTTCAAGACATGTAAGCAAATACCTTGTAAAATATGGTCGCTAGGCTAGTAGTTTATTGAGAAGTGTAATAGCACACCAACTCTGAAAGTTACATTGTTTATTTGTTTTGACAACTTTTCATTATCTAAGTGTTTTCTGTTGAAGATGGTCTGTATATTGGGTGAATGTTGTGACTTGTGACTTTACATAGTCATCCAAAGAAAAGGTAGATAGATGGCTGGGAACAGTGCAAAGTAATGGAATTTAGGAATCTGCTATTGTTATTGAATCTTCTACTTGTATAAAACTAAGTAAAATAAAATACTATGATTCCAGAATTATTATTAACTACCTGCTTTCAAGTGTCCCTTAATTGTTTCAGTTTGCACCGAAGTTTGATCTGATTAATCTGTATGCCTGATAATTTCACGTAGGCCTTGCAATTTAATAACCACTGTGATAAGATTTGGAACTCTTGTTTCCTTTTGTCTTTTGCTTTACAGCCCCCTTTATTTGATGCCTCTGTGCATACCGTTTGCTTAATGGCAAGTGGTCACTTAAATAATTGCTATATTGTAGGCCTAATGATCAACTAGTTGTCCTCTTATTTTGCTACTAAGTATGAAAGGTTGAAAATGTGAGGAATCTTCCATGCGCAGAGCCCACTAATGAAGGGAGGTTACAGGATTGTGATGCAAGAACCCATCATCCTTCTTGGTCATCCATAATCTTGAAAAGTACTTTTCCGATCACAAGACGCTGTTTTTTTCTTTGATGCATCTGTCTCAGAGCTTTATTGACCAGTTTCCATGAATAAGCTTAAATATGTTTGTGCCTGAAAGACTATCAGTTGATCATACAGTCTTTGTTGCCTTTGCATTTCTTTATCACTACCCCTAGTATCATATCTAACACCAAAATGCTACTGATGCAGAAGTGAATAATTCATGTTAGGGACTTAATTGGTGCCACTTAAGCTACTTGTGTTTGTAAGTCACATAATCAAAACATGCCTTATAATAAAACCTGTGATGATGGCGGTTATGTGCACTCACCTTTCCGGATGCTGTTAGTGCTTTTCTTTTCCATTTTCCAACCTTCCTCTTTTGTTCCCCTCCTCACTAATGAACCACAAAGGTTGATGTCGCAATCAGCTTGATGCAGAGCATCTTGGGCATGATCTTCCTTGCTTGGACACTGCCTTGGGTCACCAAATAATACCCATTAAAACTGTTTAGCTTTTTTGGTAAATTATCCCTAAAGCGGGCGCGTCAATATCAGGCATGAAAACTTAAAAGTGCAAGAATGATTGGTACATTTATGATAAGGACATTAAAGGATAATTAATTGAGAAAAGGTAAGGGAGGATAAGGGAATCTATGTAAGCTATCACATTTCTATTTGGTGTCTTTGTTGAGCATCTTAGGGTTCTTGCTTTGGTTCCAGTAAAATGAGGGGCAATAAATTATGCGATTAGTGAATGGAAAAAAGAACAATTGAAGTGATGAAGCTTAGTGCTTATTCAGGAAGTTCAATGAATGTTCAGCCATTTGCCTGTGGGGCTAGACTCTAGAAGGGAGGATAGATTCTTAGTGTGAACATTTTCATAGTCGTAGCTTCATAGGTCTTCTATTCTGCTTGGTCCGTCGTAAGCACTGTCTAGGATATTTAATCTTTCCTATAATTATTTAGATATATGGAACCTACAAGTAGGGTGATGTTTAGCAATCCACCCATTCATTTCTTGCATAAATTACAATATATCGTGTCTTTAGTACTGATGGGTGGCCAGGCATTAACCATGTAAAATATTCTGTTGATTTCTGTAAATGCCCTAGTTAGTAACATATTGTAATCCAATCTTTACACAAGATTTGTTGGTGTTTGGGGGTCCACCTTTGCCTTAAGATATGATATCTGCCAACTCTGCACAGCCAACTGTTGGTGCAAATCCTTAGATGTGCATGATGTTTTCTTCATTGTCTTTTTACTTCTATAAACAGAAATCATTGCCTCACGTTCAGTATTATTTGAATTATTCTTTCCATCTGAAAGTAATCTTTGGCCAACCATTGTTCCATGAAAAATGTTCTCTACATTCATTTTACTCCTTTTTCTATATTGTTTTATCTAAACTGATATGCTTTGACTTGATCTAAAATGGTATACTTTGATTAGCAAGACTTACTGACCAATAACTTGTATATATTTCGAATGATCCAATCTGGTGCTGATCAAAGCTGTGTTGTCCTAAAGTCCTTGTCCCACTGTGCACGCTTGAACTGTGGGGCATTTCTGTTGGAGAATTACGCACACTGCCTTCCTACAAGAATTCAAAAATGTATAAGCAGGCAAGATGTTTATGTCCCAACCAATCCCAAGTCACCAACAAGTTGAGAAATTTATTCATGGGGTACTCATTTGTTCAGAGAACAAGATCTTGGTTTGATATCTGTCAGTCTTCAAATTGCAAAAGCAGCTTGACTTTTTGTCCTTTAAAAAAAGGATCGGCATCGGCATCTTCTTTGTTGTTTATGCTAAATCACAAGTCTGGTGAAAGTTATCGTAAAAGAATAAATTTTTCATTTTTATTTTCCTGATAGAATCTTAGTTTAACTCTGATTCTAATGCTATTATGCATGGTACTGCAAACTTAAATTTATTTGTTTTCTAGTGTTTTTCTGGGCTCAAACCAAAGTAGTTTGCATGATTGCACAAGTTCCTGATTTGCCATAGCCCATAGACATGCCCTGTCTAATAAGTTAAGTTTGCATAAACTACTTATCAACAGGAGGCCCATCATGGAATCCAAATTGAAAAGGTGTCTTCAACATAATACTTATAGCCTTCAACAGAGTATTTATATGGAAGACCTATTTTAGATGCCAAGAGAGACATAATCCAAATCTAAGTATCCTCTTTTCTGAAGATCTATTTACAGAAATGATTGTCTTTTTAGTCTTATTGTTGGAGAAGATAAAAAAATATATTAAACATTTATTTATAGCGCTAGCTAAAAAATAAATAAGTCTTGTATTTTAAGGTCGTCATTGTTGGAGACCGTCTTAGGTTCATGAATCATGGTTTCATGGACATAGATAGACATGGAAAAGAGTCAATAATTGCAAAAGGGAGAGAGTGGCTGCAATGCAATCAATCGGCTGTCATCTCCACCTGGCCACAATCGTACCAAAGTGCAAGGCTAGCTAGCTGTAACATGATTTTACAGATTTG